TATATATATATATATATATATATATATATATATATATATATATATATATATATATATATATATAAAATTTTCTCTTTAAATCTATAATTACAAAACGCCATACAATGGAATCTGGACTTTTTATTTGTAGAAACAAGTTTTTAGTATCTAGCCTTTACAATATGAAAAGTTCATGCATGTCCTTTAGGACAACATTAGAAGTTAGTAAAAAGAAAACTGATGTTACTAAGCACTCTTGTGTTTTGAACTCTTTCCCATATGAAATGTGGTTTCCTAGGTTAGAAGAGAAAAGGTGAATGACTTTCTAATAATCTATTGCCTAACTCTACTTTCTATAAACTATTATATTCATTTTTTTCTGATTTAGAAAATCATTTGATATCATACTTTCCCACACATAGCACAAATTAAAGGATGATGAAAATTCATTCTTAGAGGTGTTCTGCTTTAATAGTGTTTTCACAGTAAAAACATGGACATCGTGGTAAAAAACAGAATTTCCCCATATTATTTAAATGCAAAAATTCTAGGATTAAATAAGCTCACAGTTTCTGTAACACTTGCAGCTCCACAAGTGTTGTGTACAATCAACAGCTCTGTCAAACGTTGTGTTAGTCCTTTTAGGTAATGAGAATTCCTGTTGGTTTTGTCCTTACACATTAAATTAGGCAAATACCTTGGTGACTGAAAATCTGTCAAATTCTTATAATAATTATAAATGTGCGAAAATGTGGAGTATCTATATGACAATTTTATTCAAGCTTTCAGGCACTATTGAAGCACTTTTCAACCTTAAATGTCGATCCATGCAGAGGACTTTGAAGTAAATTGTTTACATTGATTTGCAATCCCATAGCCTTTATAGTAAGCTATCCTCTTTGAGTTTACAACCTTGCTTAATTCAGCAGAAAATTGCTTTCTGCCTTTTTCAGAGACCCTCTGAGAAGACTTGAGCACAATTAAAAGAATTCTGCCTCTGACCATGAAGAAAGGCCTGAGAATCCCTTTGATGACTAGACAAACAGAATTGACTGCGCATAGAACAGCCCTTGCTTATGGAAATCCAAGCTCCACACCTCTTACTAAATGAAGTGATAAAGGTGAGAAAGCACTTACCACCAGGGTTCCTGGCACAGAATAGGCATAGCAAACTATTCCTATAAAACAGTAGCAAAAAAACTGTTATCTCCTCAAAAACTCTCATCTCTTGTGAGCGGGTGTAGAACTTAGATTCTTCCTGTGCTTAAACATCTCTTAAGTAGCACTTTATGTACTTTCAAAAGCTCGTTTACGTCCAAGTAGCTATGGCATGTGAAATTTAAAAAGGAAAGTAAGTAATACGTATTTTTAGACTACCTGGAAGACAAGAAACACAGCTCTTATGAAACCAAATGTGCTAGTGGAGAGATTTCCAAAGGGAATGAAAATCTTTACTTTAAATTTACCCCCAAAATGCTATCATACATTCTTGCACTTCATGATTAAGAAAATATTCGAGGTCTTTCTTTTATTATGCCTGTATTCCCTGGTGTACTCACCGTTTTAAAAAGTCATATTGAGAGTCTACTATGCACTGAAAGAAAGGCAGCATGTGGAGAGGTGACGCTCATACACTCCGCAGCAGACAGGACACCTGGAGTCTGAATTCCAGCTCTGCCATTTACTGGTCTCTTTAATAGGATGTTAATAATAGTTGCATCTTAAGGTTGATGTGAGGATTAAATAAATTAATATATGTAAAGTACTTAGAATGGAATCTGGCAAATAATGAATACTATATAACTGTGGACTTATTAATATTTTTGTTATTATTTTATAAGCATGACATTTCTGTAACAGAGAATGTAAGAACAAAGCAAAGAATCGTTGATGTTCTAAGCAAGTACATACTTGAGTTTACCCAATGGAACGTCTATCAAATGTGACAGTTTAGAGAACAGATAATCTTCTTTATTGGTTACCTGATGGAGATTAGGCTCAAAGGAAATAACTGACTTATATCAAGTGATGTCAGCCTTTGATTCAGTTACTTTCACAAATCACAAAAATGTTTTTCTTTCCATGAAGAACATTTAACTGTTTTATCTGCCTGAGATAATTTCCACCTTCTTTTCATAAGTAAACGGTTTCCTTTGAAATTGCCCCACCCTGACAAGGCTACCAGTCTTGTTCCACCAAAACCAACAAGGATATTGTGATCTGGTGCTGGCCAGGCAGCCAGTGTATTGGCTGAATGTTACAAACGAAGGGCCAGCTGATCTTTTATGTGGAGTTAATACATAAATGCGGGTGACAAAAGCATACTTCACTCTGAGATTAGTAAACTGGGATCGTGTAAGCCTGAGGCTGGCTGTAAATATGTCTCCCCAATATTTTGTCTTCAACATGGGGGAAGCTCACCTGCGACGCAGGGAATGAGGCCAACACATAGAGGGAAGCAGAGGGATGAAGGAAAAGCTTACATAGCTTGGAAATCCAGAAGTAGGAAAATACAGATTACTATGAACAATTATACACCAACAAATTGAACCATCTGTAAGAAATGGATGCACTCCTAGAAAATACAATTTACCAAGACTGAATCATGAAGAAATAGAAAATCTGAACATTCTCATTACTAGTAAGGGGATTGAATCAGTAAAAAAAATTTTTCAGCTGTAGTTGACATTCAATATTTTATGTTAATTTCAGGTGTACAGCCTAGTGGTTAGACATTTATGTAATTTATGCAGTGATTTTCCCAGATTAATCTAGTACTCACCAGGCACTGTGCATGCTTGTTACAACACTATTGACTGCACTCTCTATGTTGTACTTTACATCCCAGTGACTATTTTGTAACTACCAATTTGTATTTCTTAATCGCTTCACCTTTTTCACCCAGCTCCCAACCTCCCTCTCCTCTGGCAACCATCAGCTTAGTCTGCATCTATGAATCTGTTTCTATTTTTGTTTTTGTTTTTGTTTTCATAAATTTCTGCTGTTATTGATGCGGGCAAAGCGAATAGACTCTTGAACCCCACCCCAACTTTTAAGTCTCCTCGGTAGTTTCTTAGCCCCTGGCTTTGATTACTCTTCTAATCAGTTTCTGAATCCTAGACTAAAGATTGCCCCTAGACTGAATCAAAAATATCTCTCACCCACCCTGGCTTTAGATAACTACTTAAAGCCTGTGACTTCCCAACATCCCCCAAACCATTCCAGACTTAACTCTCGAATAGCCGCATCCCAGAGACTAAATAGGTTTTAACATTTCCCCAGGCCAGTATACTTGTTGATTGCTAACCTTTAAAGGCTAATGTTCTTTCCAAACCTGTAGCCACCCTGCATCAACAGCTTTGAGCTCTGCTCTTTAAGAAATTTATTAATAAAAATCTATTTTTCCTCATTTAGGGCCTTAGGGATACAGAGGGTACCCCAGAAAGATTGCCAGTCCCAACCAAAGAAGCCAACGCGGTCTTCCAGGTGGATCGCGAGACCCATTCCTCTCATCTAAGATCAGACAGGTTGAGAGTTCCGTGAATCCCCCAAATAGGCAGGGACAGCTCTACGCCCCTGCCCTGAATCTGATCAATTAAATCCTGAATTTGGAATTAGGTAGAGGAACTAGATATTATTAGATAATTAGATGTATGGATAAAAAAAAAACCTAGATGTTATCCTTTGGTAAAAGAGTAATTCCACTTTTATTAATACATTGAAGGGTTATTTGGGGGCATTTTGAAATTATGGGTATGACTATAAGGTTCAAACACAAAGTACTAAGAGAACGTTGAAATGCCACAATCTTAGACAATTTAACATTTTCAGAAACAAACAGTGTTGCGGGGAACCCAGACAAAGAGACAGGACACCAAGGCGTGGGAAGCAATTTTTATTAACGCCAGCACTGGCTCAGTGGATGCCATCCAGAGGCTGAGCCCCAACCCAGGTGGGACTCTGGGCTATATACCCTGAAGTTTCCAGGTTGGCAGCTAAGATTTATTATTAGAACAATGTGGCCATTGTGCCAGTTCCTGACTGGCTCCTGGGTGAGGTAGGAATTTGGAAATATTAAACGTGGAAGTCTTGCAGACCATAGCCCAGGAATGTCTTTGAAGCCCGCGCAAAATCCTTAGTGACCACATGGTCTGGGAAGACCTTTGTCTAGGGCCCACTGCCACAACAGGACATATACAAAATAAGATAGTCAAAATTACAAATATATCAATTCTTTATTATATTGCATCATAAGTGAATGGCATTCAAATTTAAATTCCAGGAAGGATTACAGTGAAACTTGACCAGCTGATTCTAAAACGTACAAGAAAATAGTAAATGTGCAAGAATTAGCAAAACAAAATTTTCTCCATTAAAAAATGTAATAGCTTTATTGAAATATAATTGACATGCAATAAAGTACACATATTTAAGCGCACATTTTGATAAATTTTGACCTATATATATACCTGTGAAATTGCCACAATTAAGGCAGTGAACCTATTCATCATCCCCCAAAGTTTCCTCGTACCCTTAGTAACCCTTACTTTTGGCCTCCCTACCCCTTGCTACATATGGATTTTTTCTTGTAGCATTTTAAAGATGTTGTTCCACTGTGACTAGGTTCACGTTTCTGATAATAAATCTGTTGTCATCATTATCTTTATTCCTTTATATGTAATATGTCTGTTTTCTCTGGTTGTTTTTAAGATTTTATCTTTATCGCTGGTTTTAAACCTTGTGATCATGATATGCTTTGGTATAGTTTTAAAAATATGTGTTTTTTGTCTTTTGAGCTCATGGAATTTCTTCACACTGTGCACTATCATTTTCATCAAATTTGTAAAATTTTAGCCGTTATTCTTCAAATATTTCTCCTGTACCCCTTCTTTCTCCTCTCCTTCTGGAGTTTTACACATATATTAGGCTGGATGAAGTATAGCTCACTAATTCTCTCTTCATTATTATTATTATTTTTTTTAAGATTTTTATTGGGGAATTGGAACAGCGCTGGGGAATTGGGGGAAGGGATCAGACAAGTTGCTGTCCTTTTGTTCTTCTGTCCTTTTGTTCTTCAGTCTAGTTGTGGAGGACGTTGCTTCACTGGCCCAAGTTGGCACTATCATTGCGCTCTTCCCAGGCGAGGCAGATCAGTCGCCGACTTCTGGACGACTGCTCACGGTGGCTGCTGGCCGCTCATGCTGGCTGCTGGCTACACATGGTAGCCCATGGCAACCCACTGTAGCAGAGGTTGCAGCCTACACTGTCGCCAGCAACTCAAGGGCAGCCCAGCTCCAAGTTGAGCTGTTCTTCAGCATCTTAGCTGTAGAGGGCAGTGTCACTGGCCCTCATATGTGAGATCTGAACTGGGGCACTCTGGCATCCCAAGCCAGCTCTTAACCAATGCGCCACTAGGCCGGCCCTCTTCATTATTTTTTTAGTCTTTTGTTCTCTGTTTCATATTCTATAATCTCTATTGTAATGTCTTCAAGTTCATCATGTATTTCTGCTGTAATATCTAATCAGTCATCAATTCCATCCAGAGGGTTTTTCATTTCTGACATAACTTTAAGCTCTGGAGTTTTGATTTGGATTTTTTTTGTGTGTCTTTTAATATTTTCCATGTCTCTACTCAACATGCTCCTTTCTTTAACTTTTTTTCAGCCATATGAAATACAGCTACAATTAATTTAATGTCATTGTTTGTTAATATTTATATTAGTTCGGGTTTGTTTTTGATTGGTTAATTTATCTCCTAATTTGGGGTTGTATTTTCTTGTTGGGTTTTTTTTCCATGCCTATTTTACAGAATGCTAGGCATTCTATAAAAAAGGTGCTGGTCATTTTTGCTTTGACATAAGTATGATTGAGCTTTGTTCTGTGATGTAACAAGTTACTTGGGAACAATTCCTACTTTTGAGATTTGTTAGGCAATAACAGAGCAGTGTTTAACCTAGGGCTAATTATAACCAACTTGGCTTTCTTGGAGTCTCAGCTGTATCATCTCAAACCAGGAAATCTACCAGGGCCTGCCTTGGGTTCCCCTCCCTAGTCCATTGTCTGGAAAACTCAAGGCAATAAGCTATGGCAAATATAGGGCCCACCTTGTTGGTTTTCTGTC